TAGTATTGACAAGTTTAAAAAATCAATGTTTTGTTGAAACCTATTTTTATTTATTGATTATTATATATTAGAATTCGTTAATTTCTCTTATTAAAATATTTTTAAAAATGTTTAACAAAAAATATTATTGGTTGACATCTATAATCCTTTTTTAAAACGTGAAATATATTGACAATTAATAAATGAATAAACATTTCTTTTGCCTATAAATAGCTGAAGAAGTGTAAAAATATTTTGAAAATGTTATTATGTATGGAAAATTGACATGCAAAGACGTCGATAAAAAATAAAGTATCTACAATTATATGTTTTTGTGTTATACCAAGAAAACTTAATCTGTTTTGTCAAAAACTTGTTTTGCCTAAAAATCTGTTTTCCTTAATAACCTTTGCCTGATTAAAATATCTTGTTGAGTTAATATAATTTATATTACCTAGAGAATTGTTCACGTAATATAAAAACATTATGTTACATTTATCTATTATAAAAAGTTACAACCCACGTTGAAACCAGTTATAATTTAATGTCGTGACACACTTGAAAATTATGCAATCTTGTTATAAGTTAGAAATGTAAGATATAACCAAGTTACTTACTTTAAAATGTGTAACTATTACAGGGGGTCTATCTTGTATTCCGTAAGAACGAACTAGAAACTATTAATTTTAACAAGTATAAAACAAGTATAATTAAATTGTGTGTCTAATTATTATATATTTTGATTTTAGTTTGTCGACAAGTGGCTTCACAAAGAGTCTGGTTATTGAATGATCATGTTCTCAACGATTATTTTACATTGATCAAAAAAGAAAATCCGAGTGTACATTCCTTTGATACCTTTTTTTATGAGCGGTATTCAAAAACTAAATACAAAGACGTAAAGCGTTGGACAAAAAATGTTGACATTTTTTCCAAAAGGAAAGTCTTTTTTCCAATCAACATTGTAGAAGGCATATTTGCTCACTGGATAAAAGTGGTGGCAGACATGGTGAACCAAGAACTCGTTTACTACGACAGCCTTAATTGTCATTACAATTATAAAATTCATATTGCGATAATGGAATACTTAGGGATCGAACATGAACAAAAACTGGGTAAATCCTTCCCGGAAGATGATGGAAGTTTGTAAAAGGTTGTAACCCTGTTCAGAATAACGGGAAGGACTGCAGGGTGTTCTTCTGCACTTTTGCCGAGTATTTATCTAGAGAAGCAGCGTTCAACATCACTCAACAGCATATATTATCATTTAGAAAATTCATAGCTTATGAACTTACGACCCATCAACTCGTTAAAATAAATGTGCCCAGTAATTCTATTGAAAGGGAAATACATCGTATAACTTATAATCATATAACTAAAAAATTCCCTAATGTAACTTTTGATTAGTACTTATTATTTGTAAATAATAAAATATTAGTGTTAAGGATTTAAATTTAATTATATCAGTGTAAAAAGTTACATATAAAATACATGAGCTATTGACTGATTGTATTGATATTTGTTAATTATTCTCTTTAAATGTTAAGTTAATATTATAAGTACTGATTAGTTTTATTAATTGTTAAATGTTTATATTGTGTACTAGTTTTTGTGGAAAATATGTTATATAAGGAAATAATAATATTTTTGAAAACATAAGAATGTCAAATTTCAACCTAACAATTTGTAGTTTATTTCGAAAAGAAAATAGCATTTTCCTACATATGACATTAGAAAACTTTTTCTCGGTTAAGTGTAAATTTCATCTACTTATCATTTAACAGTTAATGGCATGCAATTTTTTTATAATTTTCAAAACTACAATATTATACCTGAACAAAGCAATGCAAAATTCTTATTTAAATACTTTAAAATATTATTTAATATATTTAATGTATATTCAAGCAGGCGCTAATCACAATAAATTTATAAATAAATAATTGTGAAAAAAATGTTTTTTACTTCATGATATATTTTTTTTTTAGAATTTAAAAAGTTGTTAAAATATATAACTTTTTCTATTTGTGTATATTTTGTTTTTGTATTACTATTTGTGGTTCTTAGTTTGATGTATTTATTTACTTGAAAAAGTTTGAGAATTTCAATAATTTTTTTAAATATATGGATGTATTGTTGATAACAATTTTGTGTATGATGGGTGTGAGAATTAACACATTGCATTCGTAGGAATTAATGTATGTCATTTTTTACTTTTTACTCATGTAGAAACTTACTATTCACCTGCATTATATTGCCGTATGGGTTATGGGCCATAATAATTAATAATAATTATTTAATGATTGGAATAAGGAGTAATGAGTCGTATAATAAATGTTGGTATGGTTATCAACACTTACAGTATGATCATAATTTAAATCTAAATAACTCAGTTGGATGACTTAGAAACCAATTAGTGGTTTTTTTTTTTAATGCATAAAGGACTAAATAATATTACAATAATTTTTGAATTGCAACCACCCAAATTAATAATTCAATGTGATTATAACATAATTATTATTTCATTTTTTTTTTTATATTATGATTATTAATTTATTTCATTTATTATTGAGGTAGTGCAATGTAAATTATCTTAGTGTATTATTAATAAAATTTTTTTTATAATATTTTGAATACATATACAAAATAATTTTCTAAAAACACTAAAATTCTACACGGACATATTTTGTTGTCTCCGTCTTACAAGTGCGTAACATAGTACCTTTTACGCTCGGAAAATCGCGTTTAACTCCGTTGGTTTAAAAATTAGAGTGAATTGACCTCTTATGAAATTTAAAGTTAAGTTTATAATTGAAGATATATATCAAAGGATTTTTGTTACATTTTAATTTTTAAAGCGAGTTATGAGTATTTTAAAACTACTAATTATTTGTACATCCCAAAATACTCATAACTAGCTTTAAAAATTAAAATGTAATAAAAATCCTTTGACATGTCCTTGATTATAAACTTACCTTTACATTTCATAAGAGGTCAATTCACTCTAATTTTTAAACCAACGGAGTTAAACGCGATTTTCCGAGCGTAAAATTTGCAATGTTACGCACTTGTAAGACGGAGACAACAAGACGTGTCCGTGTAGCGTCTTCTAAATATAATGTAAAAGTATTTGTCATCACTCATCAAATACACAGTAAATATTATAAAATATTACATAAAATATGAAATCCTAGCAAAGATATTTTTTTTTTACCGTAGGACGTAGGTACACAATTTTTTGAAATTTAAAAAGACTCTAAAAGTTGCGATATTTGTTTTGCAAAGTACTTGAACTATAGATATCATTTATATTGAAATAGTCTGCTAAATAATCGAACTTAGCTTGGCGATTGCTTTAAATAGGTTGTATATAAATTACTTTAGTCACCTTAATATCATCATAATAGGCTGACTGGCCGTTTTCGATCAGAATCGTTTTTCTTATAGGTACTGATATTATATCATTGAATTCAAATTCAACACCAACTATTACAGTGACCCACCACCCACTTGTAACCTACTGTACAGCAGATCGACATTCACTTACCCACCTTTTTAATACTATTTTGTATAATAAGAGACAAAGCTTTTTTTACTCGCTGCGTTCATCGTTCCGTATTACTAGGTTTTAATTGTCACGCCTATCTGCCGATCGTGTTTTTTGTCATTTAAAGCTGCAATTATCGTCAGACGAAAATTCAAAATGCATGAAATTATAACAATATATTAAGAGATGAATTGCTAATAGGTAGGTTATGTGTTCAGCCGTTTGGCTGTAGAGCGGATTAGCACAAATTTTCACTATTTTTCAATGGTACAACTAATGTTAATTATAATATACATAAGTGGCAACTCCCTTTTTTTTTTACTTAGCTTCGAGCTGGATAAACTATATTATTATTTATTAGGTACCCACTTATTATGGTATAATTATGTACCTACCTATTTAATAGCATTGTAATTTTTTAAATTATTTTAAATAATAAGCGTCAAAGCTTTTTCTTTTTACTCGCTGCGTTCATCACTCCGTATTATTGCAAATTTTTTAAAATCGAAAAAAGGCGTTTTAATTATTTCATGATTAAATAAATATTCTTTTAAACTATACTGTCCGATACCTACAATATGAAAAATATACAAACATTCCAATTTGATGTTCTACTTATAAATCTGGAACACTTACGAAAGAGATTATAAAATTAAGAACATTTTAATGATGGATAATTATTATTTTTTTTTCGTATTTGTCAAGGCAAATCGACCGATTGGTAAGATTATAGGTATTGAACCACAAACAAACAAAGAAAATTGTAAACCGAGAACGGTTCGCTTACTACTTAAGATTTCGGTAGCATAAAATATTTACTGCTATGACTAATAAAAAATGAAACCGCTTAAAGTCGTCATCCAGATCGACGGTATTTACCTAATAATAGTAAATAATCGTTTTCTCACGACATTTAGCGCCCTAATTGCCTCAACAGCTGTGTTTACATCGTTATTTTTTGTTTTTTTTTTTCGAATTTGGCGAACAACGAGAAAATTCTGATCAAAAATCGCAAGGAATACGGACACGTAAGGAGCCCGTTGCACCGGTAGTCGGTACACTCCATTTGTAATTATGTCCAGGGGGCCAATTCTTGAAATCGTGATAAACTTTGTCGCATGCGATAAACATTTTATCGCATGAAAATAAATATTTGGTATTCTTGAAAAAAGGTATGACTGTAATCGAACGAAAAACATTCGACTATTTGTCGACTGGGTAAAACTCGGTGACAAGACTATATCGCATGATAATTTATAAATATATGTCATACCAATAATCATTTAATAATTTTAATTTGATAACAATTAACAACTTAAATTTATATAATGTTGTATTGTGATTTGTGGTCCACATTAAATAAATAAATATCAATACAATTTTGCATAGGTACATTGCCAGCGTCGCGCGTCTTCACATTTGTGGACTGTTTTGTTATTACTTGTTTTTTCCCATTCTCTTTAATATTATAATTATAATGGCCAATTTTGAGGAAATGGCAATGTTGTTTGCTGTTAATAACGTCGAAGAACATCAAAATAATTTCAATAATGCGCATCATGAAAGACAAACACGAAATAAGGAAATGATTACGGATCCATTTAAATTAACCGATCGGTTATTCATAAAAAACTTTCGACTCACTAAAGACGTTGTAAAAGATTTAATTATACTATTAAGTCCCCATTTATCAAATTCTTTCCGTTCATCTGCGATTGATCTGAATACTAAAGTAAGGCATAGCCATTGATAGGGAACGGATTTGAATGCAATTGCATTTTTTCTGAATGTCCAAAAACATTGCCAAACATTCCAAGCACAAAGTTAATTTCATACATCAATGAATTAAAAAATGTAACTTAAATCGTACTTTTAAGGTATTTTTCTTGTTTTTTAGAGTATTCAAATCCATAAGCGTGTGCAGAATTTCTGGCAGGGTAGTCATACATAAGTATACATAAGTACATAACACATTAACAGTCCTGTAAAGTATTTGAGTAAAAGTATTCAAATACTTTTTTAAGTATTGAATAACTTTTTAAATACTTTCAGCATGAAGTATTTTGAATGGTATTTTAAATACTTTTTTTTGTATTAAATACTTTTTGGTATTGAATACTTTGGTTTTTTATTTCGAACATTTTATTTTTATTCGAAATAATTTTAGAAATTTTAGAATGAATTAAGAACACAAAATAGGTAGTATCACCAATGGGTGGTTTCTTCCCTCAAAAAAAAAAAAATCATACCCAAATACCCTATGCACATTTGCTTATTGTTCTAGTTAAGAACAGATTGTAAATTTCATGTAAAAGTAAAAAAAAAGAATGTAATAAACATTTATTTAATAAATAATAAATAAAAATGATTATAAATTTACTACCTATGTGTCTATATTACAATAATTAGAAACCCACTTTAAAAACCAAAAGTTTTTGAAAAGTATTCCAAAAGTATTTGAGTAGTATTTGAAATACTATACAATTAAAGTATTTGAGTAGTATCTTAAATACTTAAAAAAAATGTATTTGAGTACTTACTCAAGTACTTTTCAAAAGTATTCTTTACAGGACTGCACATTAACACACACACACACGACACACATATTATGTATATATAATATTCATATTCACACCTAAGTTACAAAAACTAATTTTGATGGGGTAACCTCATTTAACTACATTTACCATAGTGAAAAAGTATTTTATGATTGACTATCAATTATCATAATAATAATATTGAATATTGAAGGGGGCCAAAGGAGTTCGCAGAGTAGTCAAGTGCCTACCATGACTACCCCGTGCGTACGCTTATGTTCAAATCCATTTCCTAGTCATTATATTATTAAAATGGGAATTTTATTTAATTTTTTTATATAGGTAATTTTATATACTACCTACTATACTGTATATTATTAATCAATTATGGTTTACCTATTTTTAATTTTCATAGATTTTTGTAACTTTAAATTTTTTGGCTACGGGCTCTTACCAATCGCCTATTGGTAACAGTAGATTTATGGGTCTATCCCAACCTTCTGTATCCCGCTGTATCAGTGAAGTTGTGACTGCATTAAACCTGCCCGAAATATTTAATGCTTGGGTTAAGTTTCCAAAAAATATAAATGAACTCAATGATATCCGTAATGGGTAAGTTTTAAATTTAAAAAAAAATTTGTTTGGCATGTTTTTAAATTATATATCATTTAGTTTCTACAGGAATACTGGATTTCCTGGTGTTGTTGGGTGTATTGATTGTACACATGTGGCAATCACACCCCCTTCAACAAATTTAAATTTAAATGAAAATCAACATCCCGAATACATATATGTTAACCGTAAGGGATATCATTCAATCAATGTCCAATTGGTAATATGTTGTATTAGATTTAAATGTTAACTATTAAATTATCATCCAATTTTATTAAAATTTTGATTGGAAAATATAATTGTTTTTAATTATTTAAACATTTTTAAATCATACAATTTTTCTGTGATATCATAAACACAAATGTTTTAAAAAATTCATAATCAGATCTTATTATTAATGTATTTAAATTTCTAAAAACTGTTTGTACTTCAACTAGGATAATTTAAATTGATAGATAAATGTTATTTGTAAAACATAGGAATAAACTTGTGTTAGTGCTATATATTAATAATTTGAACTTTGAACTAGATTTGTGATTCAAATTTAAAAATATTGAATGTCAACGCTTTATTCCCTGGAAATACTCACGATACACATGTGTGGAATAACAGTAAAGTTTTACCAATTCTGCAAGAATTGCATAGACGCAATTACAATAATTTTTATTTATTAGGTAAATTATAATAGAAAATTATAATAGAAGACAAATGTCAACTAGGAGTATAATTGAACGCTGTAATGGAGTGCTAAAAATGCGATTTAGGTAGGATTTTTTTTCAACTTTTTTTTTTTTTTTTAATGATATTTTAACAATAAACATTTATATATTTATTTTTAGGTGCTTATTAAGAGATAGGACACTGCATTATAAGCCCGAAAAAGCATCTTCCATTATAAATGCATGTGTAGTACTGCACAATATGTGTATCACAAATAATGTTCCTATGCCTGATGATCCTAATATTGAAGATCTTGATAATTTGGGTATGGTGGAAGATCAAGACTTCTTGGCTGATTTTAACCGAAACATAGATTTAACACTGGGAAGACAACAGAGAAATAGAGTAATCAGATATTTATCACATAGAAATGTTATATAACTAATTACATTATATGCATTATTAATAAAACAATTTTTTGTTAATTTTTCAACTCTCATAAGACAACACATAAATAAGTAATAATTTTTATTATTAAAAAACAAATTAAAATAAAATGTGTAACATATCCTTGTAAATATAAAGTATAAAATAAAAATGTAACCTTTTAGTAAATATAATAACATGTATAACTTATTAACTAAATAACTAAAAACAAAATAAAAAAAGTAATTTAAATAGCCAATCTTTGGTAAAAAAATTTTTTGTTAATTTTTTCAACTCTCTTAAATCATAAGACAACACATAAATAAGTAATAATTTGTATTATTAAAAAACAAATTAAAATAAAATGTGTAACATATCTTTGTAAATATAAAGTATAAAATAAAAATGTAACCTTTTAGTAAATATAATAACATGTATAACTTATTAACTAAATAACTAAAAACAAAATAAAAAAAGTAATTTAAATAGCCAATCTTTGGTAAAAAAAATTAATCAGTCATATAATTTATCATTAAAAATAAATAAATAAATAAAATAAATTAAAAAAAAATAAAATAATAAATTTTTTTTTTTTAAACTTATTTGGAAGTTTTTACTTGGTTTATGAGCACTTGTAGTTGTTGTTAATGGTTCAAAAGTTGAAGGCTCGTAATAATTTTCATTCACAGCTTTAATGTTTAATGGAGGTTCATTATTTTCTTTCTCAGAATTACTGTAAGTGATTGTCTCTACCAACTCTTCAATACATAATTCATTAGCATCTAAAAACAATACAATACTATAGTTGAACATTACTTAACAAAATGTGAAATACATACAATAAAACATGAATTGGTAGGACTTATACAAATAAAAATATATTTAATTCAAAGACTATACTGTGTAATTATTTATGTACGATTGAATATTACTAGAATAAATGAAATATATAAAAATTTACCAGTTAACACATCTTTAGTTGTATCATCAAAGTCAAACTCAACCACTGACTCTTCAGAATTAAAGTGACCGCTAACAGATGCTTGGCTGAATAAAGGTAAAATTTCCTTTTGAACTTCATTTAGTTCAATTTCGCATTTTGATCCACCACCTGTACCGAATCACGGAAAAAAAAACCAAGGAAAAAAAAACCAAGGAAAAAAAACCAAGGAAAAAAAAACCAAAAAAAAAAAACCAAAAAATAAAAAACCAAAGGAAAAAAAGACCACGGAAATAAAAACCAAAAGAAAAAAAAACCATGAAAATAAAAACCAAATTTTTATATTTTGCTATATTAATTCATATTTCATTAAACATAAGTTTTAATTTTCTAATTAAAAATTTTGATCAATAATCCAACTGCCCAGGTGTTCTATCTGTTGAACACTATCGTCAGTGGCGTATATTGGGGGTAGGCCTAGTGGGCTGCAGCCTGCCCCCCGAAATTACAGTCTTTTTATATATTTAATTATTTATTATATTTTTATATATAAAAACGAGCTTAACTATGTTATAGACTTATACTTTCATACACTCATGTCTCATACATCTTATATATCTTATCTTGGACCTATATAATATGGCTATAATATGTGTATAAGCATATAGGTAATCATAAGGGCACTATAAGTCTATATACTATAGAGTCATAGAACTACCATTAAGATAAAAAAGGTACCTATAGTAGCATAGTACCTACATCACATTACATTATTGTATATAATATCTTATTGATACAAAATCGGACTTACAAGTTGTTTGAGTTATTTAGACTGCTATCTAAGATAAATCAGATAATACAGGCACACGTACATCATTTTATTGTAGGTATTACCTAGTGGCTAATTATTATAAATATTATTTAGTTGTTACACGCAGTGTAGTATAACATTGGCAATCGAACTGATGTCACTGGATTGTCGTGTATAATTTGTGTTTTTCAAGTTTTCAAGTTTTTCAAGTTTTTCTTTTGTTTAATTATGGAAATAATTACGTCAAATAAAGGTAATGACAAAATAACGTTCAAAGGCCATATGTTCGTTATCAAACACGAGGGAAAAAAATATTATACATGGAGATGCAGTAAAAAGAGTTCTCTCAACTGTCCAGCTATTCTCCATACCTCTGTACATAAAACAGACCCAGTACTGAAAATTACGCATCATGAGCACCCTTCTGAGCCAGCAAAAATTGAGGTTGCAAAAGCCATTATTAAAATTAAAGAGACTGCGAAGTGTTCTGGAGCTAATCCGTCGCAGATGTATGCTGAAGTAGTGTCACAATTAGACGACTACACCAGAGCAAGGATGCCTGTCGAAGAAACATTGAAACGCACAATTAGAAACTACAGAAAAAAGAAAAATCCTATCGATCCAGCTACACTAGACGAACTTGAGATTTTGGTAAGTCATCAATCCTTTGACATTTATTAACGAAATTGAAGTAGCCGGTTAAGTTTAGTTTTTATTCTATAAATGTTAATACAATTATTTATTTGTTGGGTAAAAAACTTGATGTATACACGCAATTTTCTAATTTTGTTGTAATTCAAAATTGAATAACCGTAGACACTTGAGTTTTATATCATATGTTATTTTATCAATTCCTCAATCAATTTAAATTTTTAAATTTTTGAAACGTAGTTTCTTATGGCGCGATGTGAACGGAGGGACCCTAGCCCAGAAAAACCGTGCACACTGAAAATAACACTATAATACTTTATTTGACTGTAGACTGTTTGTATTGACTATGTATTTGACTGATTTATGTTTGTATTGACAATTTTTAAAACGTGAAACTTATTTTAAATTATTACTTTTATTATTGTATTGGACAAATTTTTAAAACGTATTTAAAAATTATAAAATGTAAAATTTTTTAAACAGTTTAACCTATTTGAAATTATTATTATTATAATTATTACTATTAATATATATTTAACAGGTAGAACACTTGGGCAGTTGGATTATTGATCAAAATTTTTAAGTAGACAATTAAAACTTAAGTTTAATGAAATATGAATTAATATAGCAAAATATAAAAATTTGGTTTTTATTTTCATGGTTTTTTTTTCTTTTGGTTTTTATTTCCGTGGTTTTTTTTTCCTTTGGTTTTTTATTTTTTGGTTTTTTTTTTTTGGTTTTTTTTTCCTTGGTTTTTTTTTCCTTGGTTTTTTTTTCCGTCTACCCCTGTACCTCCTATGTGCCTTTTAATCGCTGCCGCTTTAGATTTTGTTATGTTTCTAGTATCTTGCCATGTCTAAAATATTACAATACAATTAATTTAAAGATAACTACTTTTTAAAAATTAAAAAGATTAATTCATAGGCTATTACTCTACTAAAAATGTAATACCTAATCAATTTAAATTAGTTTGGAGTCTCAACTTCAAATAATATTTATTTAAACATGTAAGATAAGTCATTAAGAGTTTTTTAAGATAGATAACAACATTTAAGATAGTATGTAGTGGCCCTTAATTTCTTTTAATACAAGATTTAAGTTTGGTTAAAGTATTTTTACTCATTTTTAGCAGAGCAGAGATTTTTAGTTCAGAAAAAAATAATTATAAATAGGTACTTATAAAATTAATATCTCCACCAAACAAATTAACTTACTTTCTTCCACTTATTCCAACTCTTCTCCGCACCTGGTAATGCATTTAATTGAATAGAGATGCTTTCCCATCTTTGTTGAGCAATTTTATGTGTAAAACTTTTAGTAAACTTGCCCGAACACAATTGTTGATCATTGGCCATTAGATCAACCAAATACCTCATCTGGGTTTGAGTTGGTCTCACTTTAGTGTCTTTAGACATTATAATATTACAAATGGTAGTATGGTACTTATAACAAAATAAACAAAAAAAAAATATAGCAAATACTTAACTGTAAGGTTGTAAAGTTAATCACGGTTTAGAGACTAGTACTATCTAGTACTTCTTATTTAGAACTAGTAAATATTAATATGTAGAATTCCGGATTATTTGAGGTTAAAATCTAGATTTTGTGTTGTTACCACAGTGGTTCATTCGGAATACTTTATCGCATACGACAAGTGATAAAATCTTATCGATTTAGTTCAAGAATACCAATTTTAAGTCGCATGCGATTAAAATTAGTCACCTTCGATAAAATCTGTGACTTTTATCACATGTGAGAATTAGTCGCATAATTTCAAGAATTGGCCCCCAGGAAATCGAAATTACACATCTACCTCCATAGGCACCGCGCACGCGCTTCGCACTCAAACGACTATAATAATAATAATCTTTTATGTTGTTTATCGAACATAATCTCCGGGTCGGTCGCCATTTCCATTTTTCGTCTTTGTAGCGTCCCGCGTCGTCTGCGATTGAAATTCTGTCAAGCCGTTCCCGTCGAGAAAATCTGTCCACGGATCGCCGCTTTTTCGTCACGTAAGCATAAACAACGAACCGACACGTCGGAAAAGGCGCAACGCCGCCGTACAACGTTTTTTTGTTTTTTTTTTTCGGGAACACCGAAACAATAAGTTCGCGGCGGTCCCGCACAAATATGGCCGCCGAGGCCGTGTGCGCGCCGCGCCACCACAAGATTTTTTCGCCGAACCCGATCGTCACTGTCGGTCGGCGGAATCGACGTCCGCGCGTCACGAATCGTAAGAAACTTTACGTCCGAAACGCGTATCCTACGCGAAACGTCATTTTTGTGCACCGCGTACACACATTTCGTCCGAACCACGCGTTAGGTACATGGGGAATAGGCACGCCGACAACGACGGCAATCGTTGTTCGTTCCGCGCGTTCCATCCCAAAGCTAATGCAGTAATGCGTCGACGGAAACTTCGCCTCCGAAAGTTGGGTTTCACTCGCAGTCATAATATAATGAAATTCGACATTTCACACCGAACGACGGTTGTCGAGACCCACGTCATTACACGACGATTCGGTGACGACGGGGCGGTTTCGGTACGCTTTCGCGACGCCATGTCGACCAGACGCCCGTCGTCGTCGCGAGTAGGCACGCCGAATTATTTAAATGTCTTTCATAACGTAGTCGCATTTTCAAACATTTTTTCTCGGTTCTCTATAGACGTGCGTTGATCACTTTGCGACGCTTCGTTTACGATTGTTTTTACCTACCGACGTCGGACATAAATTTCGTCTTTCTTTCAGCGTCGTACCGGTTGTTCTATACAGTAGGCGGTTCGACAAAAACAACATCTTCATATAGATCGATAGGCGGTCTAGTATTCTAAGACAATTAAGGCTTCAAAAAAAACTACCTATCGCGACTTACAACACGGCTTCCCTCAGGTCTCGTAGAACTTGCATTTTATATACTTTGCTGTGTCTCGTATTTATTATGGTTGTAGGAAAAAAAAACCAAGGAAAAAAAAACCAAAAAATAAAAACCAAAACAAAAAAAACCAAATGAAAAAAAATCCATGAAATTAAAAACCAAATTTTTATATTTTGCTATCATTTTTTCTGTCATATTTTTGGTACCTATTATTATAGAAAATTTCAAATAAATATATTGTCAGTAGAATAAAATACAATACCTATAAAAGTTATGGATACTCAATTTATAATAGAGAACACGCATTAATAAGTTAACTAATTAATAAATTACATAAAAAATTACAAAAAAATATCTCATCAATTGTCAGTAGAATAAAATATAAATAAAAAAGTTATCGATACCTTATTGTATAATAGAGAACACGCATTAATAAGTTACCTAATTAATAAATTACATAAAAAATTACAAAAAAATATCTCATCAATTGTCAGTAGAATAAAATATAAATAAAAAAGTTATCGATACCTTATTGTATAAGAAATTGCAGTTAAAAAGTTTTCAATGTCACGGGTACCTTTATTATAATTTTCACATAACTTTTTTAATTGGATTTGTAATTTTTTATACACCGTGTTTTGTCGCTTCTGTTGGGGTACACCTAATTCAATTTGGGCCAGCTTAGTTTCATCAGATGCCACTTCTAACCTTATTTTATTTATAATAGTCCATATTGTATGTTGTATGTGTTTGTCCTACTAATTTACTGAACCTGAGGTTCCAACCTTCTGTAGAATTGTTTGTTCGTTCATCGTCATTTAAAGTCAATTCATTTACGTTCCATAAATTTGGTGGAAAAATACACAGTTATCTAGACATTATCTAGACAGTCTAAATAAGTCCGATTTTGTATCAAAAACCTATATGATATATACAATATAATGTAATGAATAAATGAACAACATAAGCTGTAGGTACCTTTTTTATCTTAATGGTATCTTTAATAATATAAAATATTCATCTTTATATGGTTAAATACTTGTGCATTTTATACACACTCATATAGGTACATACACACACCCCGACAATACTTTCCTAAAACATAGTACCTATACGGCTATACAATTATTTACAGTTTATACTTATATTCTATTTTACTGACAAAATATTTATTTGTAATTTTCTGATTTATTAACTAACTCATTAATTTTTGTTCTTTATTATACAACAGACAGTATACCTAAAATATGATAGCAAAATATGAAATTTGGTTTTTATTTTCATGGTTTTTTTTTCTTTTGGTTTTTTTTTTCCGTGGACTTTTTTTCATTTGGTTTTTTATTTTTTGGTTTTTTTCCTTGGTTTTTTTTTCCGCACGCCATTTATTATACCTACTGAAGGGGGAAAATTGATCTGGTGGCTTGGTACCTACTATCGTAGTGCTGACAGTAGATAAGTGGCTACTAAGATGTTATAGTTGCAGGTCGCAGACACTTTATTTGATGCTGTAGTCGTGGTAGATAATTGAATAATAAGACAGATGTTATGTATTGTGAATTTTATTATATCGTTCGATAATTTTCTAAGTCAAATTAATATTGTACAGAGTGACGTGAAAGTGCTTGCTCTAATGGGTGGTAGTACACGTCTGAATACAGGCCGATTCGGGCTCCCTTATATATGAGGTTCCCCGTACCCCTTGCCTACATATACGATATCTCGGTTCTCACGGATGTGATTTGTGTGCTCATCATCCCAGCCCACGCATTTACGATTGACTGCATTACCAAACTATGATTATTATTAAAATAATCATTTTACTCTTTTTTTTTATTTGAATTTGTCATGTACAGTGTTTCTGTAAAATAATATATAGGTACGCCTATTTTTGAACCCCTCTTCCTGAGTATTCAGTGGTTTTGTCTCATTATATTTAACATAAGGAGACCTAACCACTTTCTTGTAATATTTGTTTTAGGCCGTTCTACAGTATAGGTATTAAACTAACTATGCACCCGTGAAATTGGTAGTGTTTCTGTAAATGTTACAACGCCTATTCCTGATCCCTAATTGTCTTATTACCTAGTTATGCCGGTCTATCGTATATTATAGTAATAACTATGTACTCATGAAATTGGTATTACTCCGTAGTAACTGGCTTACTACAATATATGTTTAAGAGATTTAGTTTTAATCTAAAACAAGGCTTAAGCACATGCCTAATAAAAAACCATGTACTAAAAAAAACATCATATCTATGGTTTTTTATTACAATATCTCGTACAACGAAAATACTATTTTAGTTTGGACGATTAATAAATGTGTAATTTTTTCCCTTACAATACCGCCATCGGAGATTACATATTATCTACCTCCGTAGACGCCGCCGTTACGTTCCGCGCGCAAACAACAACAACAACAATATTAATAATAATAATAATAATAATAATAATAGTAATAGTAATAATCGTACTTGTTACTTATCTATCACCCAAAATCTCCGTCAGACAGTTGTAGACACCGAGCCCGCCAGTCGCCACACGGTATTGGATTCGTCTACGCAGTAGTTGTTTACGGCCGCCATTTTTATTTTTTTCACTGCGACGCGTTCTCGTCGTCTACGAACGAAATTTTTTCACGTCGCTTGCACTGAGTAAATAAGTCTTCGGATCGCATTTCTTTCGCAACGTAAGTACAACCAACGACCCGGCACGTCGGAAACGGTGCAACGCGTCCGCACGACGTTTGTTTTTTCCGTGAACATCGAAATGTTCGCAGCGCGTCTCAAACGAAATATGGCCGCCGAGCCGTTCGAGGCACCGCGTCCCGAGACGGTGTGCATGCCGCTGCCATGCGATTTTTTTCCCGAACGCTATCGAAACTAGCCAAATCGGCTTCTAGGCTTCATAAGTCATCCGAAATCTTACGTCGGGAACGCGTGTACGACACGAAACGCCATTTTTATCCGTCGGTTACACCGCGTACCTACGTGTATGTATATTTCGTCCAGAGTGTAGGTTAGGTACGCCGAAAGTAAAACGACAGTAATTGCTCGTGCCGAAGCACGCGCATTTCATCCGAAATCCGTCCGTAGGCCAAAACGTCGTATACAAAAGTCGGATCGCTCGCAATTATAATAAAATACGATATCGGTTTTCGAGACCCACGTCATAACGCGAGTTCGGTGACGACGGTGGTCTCTGTACTTGCGACGCGACGTCAACGAAATGCCCGTTGTTGTTCTTGTGGCATTAAATGTTTTTCATAACACAGTTCTACTTGCACGTTTTCAATAATTTTCTCTCGGTTCTAGGTCTGTGTCGTCAGAAATCCCAACGCTTCATTAACGATTGTTGAAGTACCGACGCGACGTCTGGGAGTTATTCCGAGTTGTGGAAGGTAAGCGGCCTAATAGACTAAGACAATTAACGCTTCAAAAACAACGTTATTGATTTACAACACAGTGGTTTCCATCGGGTCTTGTAGAACCTGCATTTTATACTTCACTGTGTCTCATATTATACTGATATACCTG